CCGGGCTGGGGATTCGAACCCGCCACCTTAGGTGTACGTGGCTGGCGCCTTAGCCGGTTGAGCTATAGGCGCCGAGCCGAGTTTAAACTCTTAAATTAGAAATATTGTAACAGCAATTGTCTGAGAGCCTACTGAATAGTATACATGTGTCCTCCACTTGTGCTTTATAAAGTATATGTACATTTTGCAGCAACTCTGATTTATAGATGAATAAATTGAAGTTCTGATATTTTAAGCAGTTTGTCAAAGATTGCATAGATGGTTTAGTGCTAGTACTCTTTTATTCTATTTTAAGCAGCAGGACACTGATTTAGGACTTCTATATGCCAGTTATATCTTTTTATATATTTGATATTTTGTATAATTCTTTATTTTTCCTAATGTGAAAACTTTACCAAAATGTTAATTGTCACATATATGGTATTTAACAGACTCCTGAAAAAAAGCAGAATGACCAGCGAAATCGGAAAAGAAAAGCTGAACCATATGAAACTAGCCAAGGTAGTAATAATCTCATACCAATAAAAATATTAAATTCTTCTGTACTTAATTTTCTAACTTACATTAAATAATTAGTTTGTACATGGAGATTCCTAACAAAAGTTTATGTACCTTAAGAGAATATTAGAGACTTGCTATTTGAGATACACCTGACAAAACAGTCCCCATTCTCTGGGGACTCTTGTTTTCCCTGTTGTAAGTTAACAGTCTTCTCACCACAGGTTTTTCTGCAATGCAACCATATATTGTACAGATGGATGTTTACTTTGGAGTTTTAACTTTGTCTTGAATTAGATCAGTGGTTTGTTAATAATAGTCAGAAATAGCTTCATTTAGATTGCTGTCCTTTCTACCTACTGTTCTTCTACGGTGGTTTTTAAAAATTTATTTTCAGGCTTGGCGCCTATAGCTCAAGTGGCTAAGGCGCCAGCCACCTACACCAGAGCTGGCGGGTTTGAATCCAGCCTGGGCTTGCTAAACAACAATGACAACTACTACCAAAAAATAGCCTGGTGTTGTGGCAGGTGCCTGTAGTCCCAGCTACTTGAGAGGCTGAGGCAAGAGAATCATTTAAGCCCAGGAGCTGGAGGTTGCTGTGAGCTGTGATGCCACGGCACTCTTAACCAGGGCAACAGCTTGAGGCTCTGTCTCAAAAACAAAAAATACATATATTTTCAGTTTTTTAGAGACAGAATCTCAAACTTAGGTTGAAGTACAGTGGTATGATGGTAGCTCACTACAACCTCTGACTCCTAGGCTCAAGTGATCCTCCCACCTCAGCTTCCTGAGTAGCTGGAACTACAGCTACATCACCACTACACCTGGCTAATTTATATTTTTTGTAGAGACAGGGTCTCACTCTGTTGCTCAAGCTGGTCTCTGACTCTTGGGCTCAAGTGATCCTCCAACCTTGGCCTCCTGAAGTGCTAGGATTAGGTATGAGCCACTGTGCCTGGCCTGTCTTCCCTCCTTCCCTCCCTGCTTCCTTCCTTTTCTCCTTCCTTTCCCCCTTTTTTCTTTTCTCTCTTTACTTTTTCCTTTACTTTCTCTTTCTGTCTCTCTCTCCCTCCCTTCCCCCATCTCTCCCCTTCCCCTTCTCTTCCTCCTTATCCCCCTCTCCTCCTTCCCTTCTCTCCCCTTCCCTTTTTCCCTTCCTTTTTTCTTTTCTTTTTTCTTCCTGTTTTATTTTTAATCTATAGATAATTGTTTGGGATCAGCTGGAACAATATAAGCAAGACCTCATCTCTACAAAAAAATTAAAAATTAACTGGGCTTGGTGGAGGTGGAGGTATGCCTGTAGTGCTAGCTATGCAGGATGCTGAGGTGGGAGGACTGCTTGAGCCTAGGAGTTTTAGGTTACACTGAGCTATGATCATGCCACTGCATTCCATCCAGCCTGGCAACCTGAGCAATGAAAAGACAGAATGAAACCCTGTCTCAAAAAAAAAAAAAAAAAAACCCTAAAATCTATACTTCATTTTAAATTTGGGGGGAAAAAATCCTCCCAAAGTGTTGAAGTTATATGAAGTTTTGTGTAATTTGAGGAAAGTAAGACTCATCCAAAAAAAAAAGTTTTGTTTGAAATAGAATCAGTTCTTTAGTTTTGATGAATTTGCTTTAAACTTTTTATTCTCTTAGACTATGATGTGAATTATAGATTAGTTTTATTTTGATTGAGAGTTATGGCATATGAGGTCGTACAATTAAGTTTGCAAACTTGCCATTGTGTGCTGATGTTAGTATCATTGTACAAAGAGCCCTGTGTGAGGTTTCATAACCTTGGTATTTCAGTGTCTCACAGCTGTGATCGTGTTGTCATGTGGTGTCTTGCTGAATGGTGTTCATCACTGCTGTTGCATGTTTTTGTGTGCTGTCATAAGAATATCAGCTTGAATTAGAGCAATGAACAAACATTAAATTTGTTGTTAAACTTGGCAAGGGTGGAAATGAAACCAGAGACGTGTTAGGCCAAATTTATGGGGATAATGCCATGAAGAAAACAGTAACGTGCAAATGGATTAAATGTTTTTTTGAGGGGAGAGAAAATGTCACTGATGAGAGGTCAGGTCAACCAATAATGGAGAGAACTGATGAAAACATTGCAAAAATTTGTCATTGTGTGTCAAAATCATCAGCTGACTGTGAGGAGTGTAGCAGACCAAGTAAATATCAAGAGAGAAACAGGAAAATCTTAATGAAAATCTTGGCTTAAGAAAGGTGTGTGCAGAAATGGTCCTGAAGGAGCTCCAAATGAACTAAAGCCAAGAAGAGTTGAAGTTTGCCCAGACTTTACTGGTGATGAAACAGGTGTGTACAATGCAACCCTGGAACAAACCATCAAAATGCACAGTGGAAGCCAGACAATTCTCCAAGACAAAAACAGTTCCATTAGTTCAAACTGAATCAAAATGACATTAATAACCTTTTTTGATATCAGATGAATTGTTCATTGCAAATTTGTACCAACTGGATAAACAGTTAATCAAGTTTTCTATTTGGAAGTGCTGAAAAGGCTGTGTGAAAAAGTTAGAGGAAAATGACCTGAACTTTCCCCTACAACTCAAGGCTCTTATATCACAACAATGCATCAGCTTACATGGCACTAGTATAAAACAGTTTTTAGCCAGTAAACAAATAACTGTATTGCAGTACTCTTCCTATGTACCTGATCTGGCCCCCGATGACTTTTTTCTTTACCTGAAGATAAAGGAAGTATTGAAAGAAGACATTTTGACCACATGAAGGACATCAGAGGTAACACAATGACAGCTCTGATGGCTGTTCTAGAAAAAGAGTTCCAAAATTTTTTTGAAAGGTAGACCAGATTTGGCCTAGCTTCTCAAGTGGAGTAAGTACTTCGAAGGTAACTGCAGTGATACTCAGCAGTGAGGTATGTAGCACTTTTTCTAGGATGAGCTGGTGAACTTAATTGTCATACCTTGTACATTATGTTAGTGTATTTATAAAAGGAAGATTATTGAATCTTAGAAAAATTCCTCCTTTCACTGCCTGTTTAACCTTTATGGAGGAAACACTGTTCTTAGAGCACAGGTGTTTCAGCTCGTTTGTTAAAAATAAAGCTGACACTTAAGTTTATAGCAGTGTATGCAATATTGAATACATAGCACATTTTAGTGAATGATGATTTATGTGTGTACTGGAAAAACTGTACTTACTTTGGTTTCATTTTCAGGGAAAGGTACTCCTAGGGGACATAAAATTAGTGATTACTTTGAGGTAAGTTAAATTTTTGGGAAAAAAACTATTTTTTTTAAAAACCTAAATTCTTGTGTTCATTTATGATTTTAGAAAACGATATTTTGCCTTTACTATGCTCTTTCTCCCTTCCTTCCCATCTTCATCAATTAGTGCTGCCCTGTCTGTCAATAAGAGGAAACTGTTGTTAACTTACTAAATTTAAATTTGCTTATTATGTGTCTTATCTGTGATGATATAAGAATTCACAAATGAGGTGATTTTTATCTTGGCCAGATGAAGTTTTGTGTCTTATAAAAATTTAGGTGGAATAACTTGGACTCGTCTTTTGTCCTTTTCCCTTTAGTGCAGTGGAACCTGTCGCAAGCTCACTGACCCTTCTTTAGTGGTTACTAAGGAAGATACTAACATCCCCCATACCACTGTATTTCTACTTCGTGTATTTTAAGAAAAGAAGGGAAAACATTCTTTTCTCCTGTCCTTTCAAAACCATGTGTATCTTCAGCTTTCTAGCCATGTGTTCTTTATATCTTGGACATTTTTGCTGGAGCTCCTTAAAAATCTTATTGAAACAATAGCAGAATTTGACTTATGTGGCGTTTTCTCTTTAGAGTAAGATGGATTGATTGACTTAAAGGGGCCATATATAATTAAAACCTGTTTGTGTATTAATCTTTTACTCTCCTTATCTGAAGCATAGTACTGTTTTGAATTATTCATATCCATTTTTCCCTGTTGGCCAGTTTGCTGGGGGAAGCGGGCCAGGAACCAGCCCTGGCAGAAGTGTTCCACCAGTTGCACGATCCTCACCGCAACATTCCTTATCCAATCCCTTACCGGTAAGCATTCACCTGGAGAAATCTGACACCTGTTGTAGGCGACTAGAAGCCCAGGAACACTCAGGCAAAGTAATTACTCATTGGGAAATGAGGCATTAGAGTGAAAAGTTCGTAGTTTTACCTATGAATCACTTACTTAGATTCAAATCTGTGTCAGTAATGTCGCTTTTTACGAAAGCTAACCTTGTTTTCTCAGTGTGATAAATTGCCTCTCACCCTGCAGCTCAGTGGTCTGTCATGGAAGTGATTCCAATCCAAACATTACATTTTTATCTTTGCCAAATTTATATGTTCTTGTAAGTTCTTTCCCTTTTAAAATTTTGATCAGCTTCTAGTATTTGAGTTATCTCCAGAGCTTACTCAGTGCTACAGTAGAAAAACTAATATTACCAGATTTTTGATAGGTTTGTTTCTAGCCTGTAAGTGAGATCTGAAGGTGTTAAAAGTATTGTATTTAAGTTAGTGGTTCCCAATTGGAGTAGTTTTGCCCCTCAGGGGACATTAGTAAATATTTGGAGTCTTTTTTTTTTTTTTTTTTGAGACAAAGTCTCAGGCTAATCACCCTGGGTCACAGGAACCTCCAACTCAGGCTCAAGCAATCCTCTTGCCTCTAGTTTTTCTATTTTTAGTAGAGACGGGGTCTTGCTTTTTTGCTCAGGCTGGTCTTGAACTCACGAGCTCAAGCAATCTACCCAACTCAGCCTCTCAGAGTGTGAAGATTATAGGCATGAGCCACCATGCCTGGCCTGGAGTCATTTTTGGTTGTCATAGGAGGTAGGGGGTGGATGGTGCCTTAGGTGTCTACTAGGCAGAGGTCAGGGATGCTGGTAACATCCTATAGTGTCAGGACAGCCTCCCTACAACAAAAAAATTATCTGGTTCAAGATGTCATTAGTGCCGAGGTTGAGAATTCCTGAGCTAGCTAATGTAGGATTGTGTTAATTTACTCCATTCCTTTGGATTGTTGATCTCATTCCAAGATCTCTATATATAGAGTGTGCTCTGTCCACTAAACTTTAGGTGGGGTCTTGGGGTATGGGGGTCTCCAAGATCAGAAGTTTTTATTCTAGATCTCTGTGTTTAAGAAAGTTGTTTTTCTTTGCCTCACTAGAGTTGTATAATACTACTATATTTGTAAGTGATTTAGGCTTCTGTATTTTAAAATGTACTTCCTCCCCTCTACTGTCCATGAAAACATGCGTTCATTGGGATAATTGTAATTATTAAAGCATTTATGAAAATGTGGATTAAACCTATAAAAATAGCGAACACAATTGCTATTATCATTTTTGCAATATTTTAAAATGTTAGCAATGTTTGATGTATATATAGGTCTGTTTGGGTAGATTGAAATTTGTTAGATAACTGTTGAGGAAGCCTTTGTCTCTGCTTTTCTCCAGTTTTAAACCAATGAAAGTTTAAAAAATGTCAAGTGGGATTGTAGAGTATCTATTTGGGACAAATATGTTTTGTAGAAATTCTTAATATTGTCTCTTCCTGAAATCCTTTTTTTCATTTAGTTTTCAGAAGTGAGATCATCTGTCTTTCATGTGTCAGTTTAGGTAAAATTTTACCCAAAGACAAAAGAAATGCACTCAGTCATGTATAGCTGTTTCTGTTAGCTATGTGAATGTGACTGGGCCCCATCATCGACTGGGCAAATATAATTGTATACTGGATGTTGAAACAGAAACCTTAGTTTCCCTTTCCATTCTTCCCAACTTATGTTCTATGCTTTATTGTTATAATCACGAATTTGTGTGTAATATACAATTCATTTTTCCTACTCACTCTCCCTCCATCATACTTGCCTGATACTACCTTTTTCTTGTCTGATACTACCTTTTTCTTGTCTGCCTCTAAGCAACTCAACGTGGTAAGAGGAGAACACACACACCTAAGCTGTCTTGATTTCACCTTCCTTTTGTGACCACTGTCCTCATGTGCACCCCTTGTTCCCTGCCAGTCCTACCATATTTCTAGTGAGTTCTCTTTCCTCAGTGAATAGTTCATATTTTGTCATCTCTTGCAAACCTCCAGCAACAGTTCTACTAATTTCCTGATGGCCTTGCTCTTTTATTTTACTGAGAAAATAGAAACAGTCAGAAGAAAACTTCTACGTGCTCCTATACCACATCTGCCAAGCTACTTATATCAGTACCCGTAACTGCCTTTTGGGATAAATGAACCTGCTAGCCCTTCACTTGGGTTCTGATCTCTGTGATAATTATATATCCAGCTCCCTACTTTATTTTTCTACTTGTGTATCTAATGTACAGCTTGAACCTTAACATGTCTACAAAGGAACTCTTGCTCCCAAAGCAACAGTGAAGTATTGTTCCTGTATTCTCCCCTGTCCTGGTAAATGACGGTTTACTCCATCCAGTTTTGCAGGTCATAACCTCACATCCCAAATCTAATCCATCAAAAAATTCTATGTTTCTTTTAAAATATATTGGAGAATAATCTGAAGGTAATGAATTATCTGAGTTGATAGGTCACAGTCAGTTATAAATGAAACTCCTTGTTCCTTGTTCTGCTTTTTCCCCCTTCTCACTACTGCACTTGACTACTATAAAAAAAAACAACCAGGGTGGCGCCTGTGCCTCAGCAGGTAGGGTGCCAGCCCCATATACCGAGGGTGGCGGGTTCAAATCCGGGCCCCGGCCAGCTAAAACAGCAGTGACAACTACAACGAAAAATAGCTGGGTGTTGTGGCAGGTGCCTGTAGTCCCAGCTACTAGAGAGGCTGAGGCAAGAGAATCACTTGAGCCCAAAAGAGTTGGAGGTTGCTGTGAGCTGTGATGCCACAGCACTCTACCCCGGGTGACAAAGTGAGACTCTGTCTCAAAAAAACAAACAAAAACAGACATTATATTAAAATCTGCCTACTTTTCTAATCTTCTGGTTCTCTTTGTTAGCGTCCAAATGAATCTCTTGTTTCTGACCTTGTCTTGCCTGGTCTTACTATAGTAGCCCAAATGCTTGTTGAAAAGTTAAGGCCTGTCTTGACACTCTTCTGCTCACCACTGTCAGGGGCTTCCTTTACTGAAGTCTTCACCTGGCCTAAAAGCTCCTGTGTGATCTGTGCTTCCCTCATCCACCTGACTCTGACTTCTCTGACTGTTCTCCCTCTTGATGTGACTACTGTCCTCCTTGAAGTTCTTGAATGCTCTGAAGTAGTCTTAGTAGTCTTTTGTTTCAGAGTCTTTGTACTTGCTGTTGCCTCTTCCAGGAACATTCTTTTAACAGATGTCAGCATCAGGTTGTTGCTCAAAAATGATAGAGTAGTCTCCTTGGCCAACTTCTCTAAAATAGCAGTCCCTCACACTTTGTCACTTTCTTTGTCCCTAATCTTTATTTTTAGTTATCACCACCTGATATACACATACAAATATAAATTTTCATATATACTTGAATTTTTTTCTTCACATCTGTACATTAGAAGAGTACACATATAAGTCCACAGTTTCATAAATTTTGGCAAACTGTACCAGCACAAGAAACACAATATTATTAGCTCTGTGGAAGTCTCCTGTGCTCCTTGCTGGTTATCAGCCTCTTCCCTGCCCTTGGGATAGCCAACCTCTATCCTGACCCTAATAGAACACATGAGTTTCTTTCTGCCTTTGCACTTTGTATAAAGGGACTCATTCAGTATGTACTCTTATGTTTGACGCCTTTTGTTCCATATTACTTTTGTGAGATTTATCACCTTTGTTTGTTTATTGGATATCATTCATTGTCGTTGGCATGTGGCATAATTTTAATACTTTTTATTTAATTTTTTTTTTTTTTTGAGACAGAGCCTCAAGCTGTCCCC